TCTTTTTGTATTATGTATTCATTCCTTTTATGTATTCTTTCTGCATTATGTATTCATTCCTTTTATGTATTCTTTTCTGTATTATGCATTCATTCAGTTTATGCATTCTTTCTGTATTATGTATTCATTCTTTTTATGTATTCTTTCTGTATTATGTATTCATTCCTTTTATGTATTCTTTCTGTATTATGTATTCATTCAGTTTATGTATCATTTATGTAATTACATTGTACGAAGTATGTGTTAGTTATATTTTTCTAGTTCTTTGAACATTTTCTATTAACTTGATAATACCGAAAAGGATTATGTGTATTATAAAAATGTAAACAAAAATGAAGGCAAGATAACTTACAATTAGCAAGTTACAATTTATTAGAATTATTATCAAAATTTATTAAAATCATTATTAAAATTACAATTAATATTTATCAAAATTACTATTAAAATTAAAATTTATCAAAATTTATCAAATTACTATTAAAATTAAAATTTATCAAAATTTATCAAAATTACTATTATTATAATTTATTAAAATTATTAATAAAATTTATTAAAATCATTATTAAAATTTCTATTAATATTTATCAAAATTTATAAAAAGTACTATTAAAACTAATATTAATGTTTATAAAAATTTATAAAAATTACTATTAAAATTAAAATATCAAAAAATTATTATTATAAAAGTATTAAAATTATTATTAAAATTTATTAAAATTACTATTATTATAATTTATTAAAATTATCAATAAAATTTATTAAAATTTATTAAAAATTATTATTAAAATTTATCAAAATTACTATTAAAATTTATTAAAATTATTATTAAATTTATCAAAATTACTAATAAAATTTATTAAAGTTACTACTAAAATTTATTAAAATTATTATTAAAATTTATTACAATTTATCAAAATGTACATTACGTACACTTCATAATGTTATATGCTTATCAACTCATAATATTGAATCACTTTTCGATTTTTAAACGGGAATTTGAATGAATTGATTTATCGTAATGGTTTCTGTAATAAAAAAAATTACTTACCACCCTTTTTCATTTTTTTAGAAGAATGAGGAGTTCAAATGAAGGAGAATTCAGTATTATTTAATAAAATTCAATATTTGCTGTTAGGAAAAAAAAAAACATTCAAAGCGCCGCCTTATGCCTGAAAAATTAAAGTTGAAGTTAATTAGTATGAGACGGCAAGTAATGATTCCACACCAGATAAAAAAAAGTTTACAACTTCATAGTGAAAAATATTCCTGGCGATATGGGATCTTTTTTTTTTTACTATCCCCAGTATTTCAGTCGACACTAGTGATAATAGATTCATTATAACTGCCAAGTTCGAGACCATAAAAACAACTACGTATTTAATGAGGAATCTTTTTTTCTTACTATCAAGTTTTTAAAGTCGGAATTAAAACTTGGCGCTTAAAAATGAATTTTTAATCACTATTTATTTAGAGGACTCAGTTTGAAGTGATATGTCCTCAATCATTTAAAAAAAAATGTTGAACAAAAAAAAGTCACTAAAATGTAGTACCAAAAAACTTGTTTCAAATTACATAAACCAAATATTACATTACATAACATAGCAATTTACTATAATGTTGAAAACAATTTTGAATAATTAAACTAAAATTAAATGCCTATTTTCGTTTACTAACGAAATGACTGTTGTTGTTTACCAAAATACGCATTTAACAGGTGTCAATAGCCATTAAAACTGTTGTTGTTCATTATAATGCAAGTTCTGGCATAAAAACACAGTCAATCCTTTTGTTGTTTTCTTACAAGTTTTTAGCCTGGAACTAAAACTTGGAGCGAAAAATGAATTTTAATCCTAAAACTGTTGTTTTCAATGGAAGGATCTTAAAGTCAAATGTTGTTGTTACTAATGCAATTGACAATACAGACAGTCAATCCTTAAAACTGTTGTTGTTCTAAAGCAGCTCAGACAGTCAATCCTTAAAACAACTGGCAATACAGACAGTCAATCCTTAAAACTGTTGTTGTTTTTAATGCAATTGGCAATACAGACAGTCAATCCTTAAAACTGTTGTTGTTCTAATGCAGCTGGCAACACAGACAGTCAATCCTTAAAACTGTTGTTGTTCTAATGCAATTGGCAATACAGACAGTCAATCCTTAAAACTGTTGTTGTTCTAATGCAAGCTGGCAATACAGACAGTCAATCCTTAAAACTGTTGTTGTTCTAATGCAATTGGACAGACAGTCAATCCTTAAAACTGTTGTTGTTCTAATGCAATTGGCAATACAGACAGTCAATCCTTAAAACTGTTGTTGTTCTAATGCAGCTGGCAACACAGACAGTCAATCCTTAAAACTGTTGTTGTTCTAATGCAGCTGGCAATACAGACAGTCAATCCTTAAAACTGTTGTTGTTCTAATGCAATTGGCAATACAGACAGTCAATCCTTAAAACTGTTGTTGTTCTTCAGTCAATCCTTAAAACTGTTGTTGTTCTAATGCAATTGACAATACAGACAGTCAATCCTTAAAACTGTTGTTGTTCTAATGCAGCTGGCAACACAGACAGTCAATCCTTAAAACTGTTGTTGTTCTAATGCAGCTGGCAATACAGACAGTCAATCCTTAAAACTGTTGTTGTTCTAATGCAGCTGGCAACACAGACAGTCAATCCTTAAAACTGTTGTTGTTCAGTCAATGCTTAAAATTGTTCTAAAGCAGCTGGCAATACAGACAGTCAATCCTTAAAACTGTTGTTGTTCTAATGCAGCTGGCAATACAGACAGTCAATCCTTAAAACTGTTGTTCTAATGCAGCTGGCAACACAGTCAATAATGCCTTAAAACTGTTGTTGTTCTAAAGCAAGCTGGCAACACAGACAGTCAATCCTTAAAACTGTTGTTGTTCTAATGCAATTGGCAATACAGACAGTCAATCCTTAAAACTGTTGTTGTTCTAATGCAGCTGGCAACACAGACAGTCAATCCTTAAAACTGTTGTTGTTCTAATGCAATTGGCAATACAGACAGTCAATCCTTAAAACTGTTGTTGTTCTGGCAACACAGAAGTCAGCTGGCTAATACAACACAGACAGTCAATCCTTAAAACTGTTGTAATGTTCTACAGACAGCTTAAAACTGTTGTTGTTCTGCAGCTGGCAACACAGACAGTCAATCCTTAAAACTGTTGTTGTTCTAATGCAGCTGGCAATACAGACAGTCAATCCTTAAAACTGTTGTTGTTCTAATGCAATTGACAAGACAGACAGTCAATCCTTAAAGTCTGTTGTTGTTCTAATGCAGCTGGCAACACAGACAGTCAATCCTTAAAACTTGTTGTTGTTGGATGAATATTTAGTATGTTTTGCCAGCTGCATTTAGAACAACAACAGTTTTAAAAATAATATTGTCTGTATTGTCAATTGCATTAGAACATATAAACTCTTACTGAATGTCTGTTTCAGATGCTTTTAAACGGAAATTTGAATGAATTGATTGTGAAAGATTGTTTGTAATTAAAAAATCAGTTTTAAAATTGACTTTTTTGCCAGCTGCATTGAAATACGGAGTTTAAGAATTCGGTTTATTTAATAAAATTCAATATTTGAACAAAAACAGTTTTAAGGATTGACATTCAAAGCACCTTATGCAGTTTTAAAATTGACTGTGAAGTTAATTAGCATGAGACAACAACAGTTTTAAGGATTCCACACCAGAGAAAAAGCTTAAGAACTAAAAATATTCCTGGAGAGATGTGGGATTTTTTTCCCCAGTATTTTAGAACAACACTAGTGATAATAGTTTCATTATAACTGCCAAGTTCGTAGACTATAACGCTACCTTGGCTACAGATTTGGCGGTTTTTAAGTATCGCCAATCTATTAGCTACAGATTTGGCGGTTTTTGGCGGTTTTTAAGTGGTTCTAATATAACAGCTGCTGATTTGCTGAGTTTTTGACGCCATTTTGTAGTGCTACGAAAATGCGTATTTGGGATTTGCCAAAAACAGTACAAGATGCAATTTTATTTTTCAGGAGCGAAATATTTTACAAAAAAACGAAAATGTCCCAATTCCCATGACATGAAACTTTATTTTGGTAAACGTAAGTTTGGAAATGCAATTTCAGTCAGTGTGCTTATCGTGTGGGACTAAGAAAAGACAACTGGTTTGAGGGAAGCAGAATTCCATTTAAAACCACCAAATCTGTAGCTGCGGTTGGCGTTCAAAAGACAACTGCGTGCGCGTGTGAACAACAAGATTGCTCGTTATTGGCGCAACTGTAGCCAAGGTAGCGTTAATACGTAAGTACCTTTTTTTCTTACTATCAAGTTTTTAAAGTCGGAATTAAAACTTGGCGCGAAAAATGAATTTTAATCACTATTTAAGACCAGTGCTCTAACCACTGAGCTATGATGGCTTGTTCAGTAAACCCACCATACCTTATCATCTACGCATAACAACAAAAATACAAACAAATAAAATTTAAAGAAAGTAATAAAACCCTAAACCATATTCCAGCCGAAACACAAGCCATCAGTGAGAGTCGAACTCACGACCCCTGGTTTACGAGACCAGTGCTCTAACCACTGAGCTATGATGGCTTGTTGAGTAATATTACCTTTCATCTACGCATAACAACAAAAAAATAAAATTTAAAACAAATAAAACCTTAAACCGTAAGCCGAAATCAAGCCATCAGTGAGAGTCGAACTCACGACCCCTGGTTTACGAGACCAGTGCTCTAACCACTGAGCTATGATGGCTTGTTGAGTAAAACCCGCCATACCTTATCATCTACGCATAACAACAAAAATACAAAAAATAAATTCTTTAAACCATATTCCAGCCGAAACACAAGCCATCAGTGAGAGTCGAACTCACGACCCCTGGTTTACGAGACCAGTGCTCTAACCACTGAGCTATGATGGCTTGTTGAGTAAACCCACCATACCTTATCATCTACGCATAACAACAAAAATACAAACAAATAAATTTGTATTCCAGCCGAAACACAAATCAGTGAGAGTCGAACTCACGACCCCTGGTTTACGAGACCAGTGCTCTAACCAAAAGCTATGATGGCTTAAAAGCCGCCATACCTTATCATCTACGCATAACAACAAAAATACAAACAAATAAATTCCTTTAAACCATATTCCAGCCGAAACACAAGCCATCGTGAGAGTCGAACTCACGACCCCTGGTTTACGAGACCAGTGCTCTAACCACTGAGCTATGATGGCTTGTTGAGTAAAGCCACCATACCTTACCATCATCTACTTTAGTAACAACAAAAAACAAACAAATAAAATCTTTAAACTGTATTCCAGCCGAAACACAAGCCATCAGTGAGAGTCGAACTCACGACCCCTGGTTTACGAGACCAGTGCTCTAACCACTGAGCTATGATGGCTTGTTCAGTAAACCCACCATACCTTATCATCTACGCATAACAACAAAAATACAAACAAATAAAACCCCTAAACCATATTCCAGCCGAAACACAAGCCATCAGTGAGAGTCGAACTCACGACCCCTGGTTTACGAGACCAGTGCTCTAACCACTGAGCTATGATGGCTTGTTGAGTAAAGCCACCATACCTTTCATCTACGCATAACAACAAAAATACAAACAAATTTTTAAACCGTATTCCAGCCGAAACAACAAAAATACACTAAACCCTGGTTTCTACGAAGAACCAGTGCTCTAACCACTGAGCTATGATGGCTTGTTGAGTAAAACCCACCATACCTTACCACCTATGTTTAACAACAAAAATACAAACAAAATAAAATTCTTTAAACCGTATTCCAGCCGAAACACAAGCCATCAGTGAGAGTCGAACTCACGACCCCTGGTTTACGAGACCAGTGCTCTAACCACTGAGCTATGATGGCTTGTTGAGTAAACCAAACCATATTTTTATCATCTACGCATAACAACAAAAATACAAACAAATAAAATCTTTAAACCATATTCCAGCCGAAACACAAGCCATCAGTGAGAGTCGAACTCACGACCCCTGGTTTACGAGACCAGTGCTCTAACCACTGAGCTATGGCTTGGTGGATGGCTTGTTGAGTAAACCCAGCCATACCTTATTCTACTTTATAACAACAAAAATACAAAAAAAAAAAAATTTAAACCATATTCCAGCCGAAACACAAGCCATCAGTGAGAGTCGAACTCACGACCCCTGGTTTACGAGACCAGTGCTCTAACCACTGAGCTATGATGGCTTGTTGAGTAAACCCACCATACCTTATCATCTACGCTTTAACAACAAAAAAAATACAAACAAATAAAATTTTAAACCATATTCCAGCCGAAACACAAGCCATCAGTGAGAGTCGAACTCACGACCCCTGGTTTACGAGACCAGTGCTCTAACCACTGAGCTATGATGGCTTGTTGAGTAAACCCACCATACCTTATCATCTGTATATAACAACAAAAATACAAACAAAAAAAGCCGAAACAAAAATAGAGTCGAACTCACGAAAACGAGACCAGTGCTCTAACCACTGAGCTATGATGGCTTGTTGAGTAAACCCACCATAATCTACGCATAACAACAAAAATACAAACAAAAATTCTTTAAACCATATTCCAGCCGAAACATAAGCCATCAGTGAGAGTCGAACTCACGACCCCTGGTTTACGAGACCAGTGCTCTAACCACTGAGCTATGATGGCTTGTTGAGTAAACCCACCATACCTTATCATCTACGCATAACAACAAAAATACAAACAAATAAACCCCTTTAAACCATATTCCAGCCGAAACACAAGCCATCAGTGAGAGTCGAACTCACGACCCCTGGTTTACGAGACCAGTGCTCTAACCCACTAATGGCTTTTTAAAACCCACCATACCTTTCAAACGCATAACAACAAAAATACAAAAAATAAAATCTTTAAACCGTATTCCAGCCGAAACACAAGCCATCAGTGAGAGTCGAACTCACGACCCCTGGTTTACGAGACCAGTGCTCTAACCACTGAGCTATGATGGCTTGTTGAGTAAACCCACCATACCTTATCATCTACGCATAACAACAAAAATACAAACAAATAAATTTTAAAACAAGCCTAAAATCGAACTCACGACCCCTGGTTTACGAGACCAGTGCTCTAACCACTGAGCTATGATGGCTTGTTGAGTAAACCCATTACCTTATCATCTACGCATAAAACAAAAATACAAACAAATAAAATCCTTTAAACTGTATTCCAGCCGAAACATAAGCCATCAGTGAGAGTCGAACTCACGACCCCTGGTTTACGAGACCAGTGCTCTAACCACTGAGCTATGATGGCTTGTTGAGTAAACCCACCATACCTTATCATCTACGTTTAACAACAAAAATACAAACAAATAAAACCCCTTTAAACCATATTCCAGCCGAAACACAAGCCATCAGTGAGAGTCGAACTCACGACCCCTGGTTTACGAGACCAGTGCTCTAACCACTGAGCTATGATGGCTTGTTGAGTAAACCCACCATACCTTATCATCTACGCATAACAACAAAAATACAAACAAATAAAATTAAAATATTCCAGCCGAAACACAAGCCATCAGTGAGAGTCGAACTCACGACCCCTGGTTTACGAGACCAGTGCTCTAACCACTGAGCTATGATGGCTTGTTTGAGTAAACTGTTTAACCATACCAAATTATCATCTATATATAACAACAAAAATACAAACTAAAATGAAAATTTAAAACCATATTCCAGCGAAAAACAAAGCCATCAGCCATCAGTGAGTCGAACTCACGACCCCTGGTTTACGAGACCAGTGCTCTAACCACTGAGCTATGATGGCTTGTTCAGTAAGTGCCATACCTTATCATCTTTTGCATAACAACTAAAAAAATACAAACAAATAAAACCCCTTAAACCATATTCCAGCCGAAACACAAGCCATCAGTGAGAGTCGAACTCACGACCCCTGGTTTACGAGACCAGTGCTCTAACCACTGAGCTATGATGGCTTGTTGAGTAAACCCACCATACCTTATCATCTACGCATAACAACAAAAATACAAATACAAACAAATAAAACCCCTTTAAACCATATTCCAGCCGAAACACAAGCCATCAGTGAGAGTCGAACTCACGACCCCTGGTTTACGAGACCAGTGCTCTAACCACTGAGCTATGATGGCTTGTGCAAAGTGCATATCCCCATATAACCCCAATTTTATCATCTACGTAAACAACAAAAATACAAACAAATAAAACCCTTTAAGAATATTCCAGCCGAAACAAGCCATCAGTGAGAGTCGAACTCACGACCCCTGGTTTACGAGACCAGTGCTCTAACCACTGAGCTATGATGGCTTGTTCAGTAAACCCACCATACCTTTATCATCTACGCATAACAACAAAAATACAAACAAATAAAACCCCTAAACCGTATTCCAGCCGAAACACAAGCCATCAGTGAGAGTCGAACTCACGACCCCTGGTTTACGAGACCAGTGCTCTAACCACTGAGCTATGATGGCTTGTTGACAACAAAAGTAAAACCACCACAGACCTTACCATCTAAGGATGGCTTGTTCAGTAACAACAAAAAACAACAAAAATACAAATAAAACCTACCATAAAAAGAAACATAAGCCATGAGCTATTCCAGTCGAACTCACGAACCCTGGTTTATCAGTGAGAGTCGAACTCACGACCCCTGGTTTACGAGACCAGTGCTCTAACCACTGAGCTATGATGGCTTGTTCAGTAAACCCACCATACCTTATCATCTACGCTTTAACAACTAAAAAAATACAAAAAATAAAATAATTTTAAACCATATTCCAGCCGAAACACAAGCCATCAGTGAGAGTCGAACTCACGACCCCTGGTTTACGAGACCAGTGCTCTAACCACTGAGCTATGATGGCTTGTTGACAGTAAACCCACCATACTTTTATCATCTACGCATAACAACTAAAAAAATACAAACAAATAAAACCTTTAAACCATATTCCAGCCGAAACACAAGCCATCAGTGAGAGTCGAACTCACGACCCCTGGTTTACGAGACCAGTGCTCTAACCACTGAGCTATGATGGCTTGTTGAGTAAACCCACCATATTTTTATCATCTACTATGAATTTTTCTTTAGTAACAACAAAAATACAAAAAATAAATTCCTTTAAATTTAAACCGTATTCCAGCCGAAACATAAGCCATCAGTGAGAGTCGAACTCACGACCCCTGGTTTACGAGACCAGTGCTCTAACCACTGAGCTGGCTATGATGGCATTTTTTTATAGTAAACCCACCATTTTATCATCTACGCATAACAACAAAAATAGCATTATAATTATTAAAAAACAAATAAAACCCTTTAAACCATATTCCAGCCAGAAACACAAGCCATCAGTGAGAGTCGAACTCACGACCCCTGGTTTACGAGACCAGTGCTCTAACCACTGAGCTATGATGGCTTGTTGGTGGCCATACCTTATCATCTACGCATAACAACAAAAATACAAAAAATATAAATTCTTTAAATATAAGCCATTTACCCCTGGTTTGCTAAACTAAAATTGTAAAAAAAAGCATTAACAACAAAAATAAACAAATAAAACCCTTTAAACCGTATTCCAGCCGAAACACAAGCCATCAGTGAGAGTCGAACTCACGACCCCTGGTTTACGAGACCAGTGCTCTAACCACTGAGCTATGATGGCTTGTTGAGTAAACCCACCATACCTTATCATCTACGCATAACAACAAAAATACAAACAAAAAAACCCCTAAACCATATTCCAGCCAAAACACAAGCCATCAGTGAGAGTTGAACTCACGATGTAATCCCTGCAGACACAACTAGCAATGACGATAAGCCATTGCCAGAGACTTCATGGCCAATTGCATGACTTTCAGCTATTTTTATCTTTCCATTTACATAGTTTAGATCAGGGGTCTCCAAATTTTCCAGCCTTAGGGCCATACTGTTTACTCCAGTAAGTACCAAGGGTCAAATCCGTTTTAATTTTTCTACCATTATCTATAATTTCTAGATCAGTCGATGACCGTACGCGCTCTGAGCGAGCGTACGCTTGCTAACTACAAACTATTGTCAGTGAAAAATCATAATTACATAAATCTTATTAGTATTTTTTAGCTTTTCTGTTTCTGAACTTTTAGCTTTGCTGTTTGATTCAGGATGTATACATAGTAAATTAACAAACATAAAGTTATTTGTTATAATATAGCGAAATAATTCAGCTGTTCATTTATTTATTATATATTAAGTTATAAAATAAATAATTAATATTCAATGGTATCGAGGATTATAAACAATTAATTCGATTTCTCATCTATTTATTCGACATCAAGTTATTAAATAAATAAATAATATTCATTGCTTACTGATTATGAACAATTTATTCAGCTGTTCACCTATTTACTATACATTAAATTATTAAATAAACAAATAATATTCATTAGTAACGATAATTATAAACAAGAAATTAAATCGAATAACAATTTCGAGCATCTTTGAGGAAGTATTAATTTATGAAGCATTAATTTTGAGAAGGGTTAAGTTATTTAATTTATAAATAAATAAATTAGCAATTATAAAGTTATTTATTAAAATATAAACTAATAATTCAGTTGTTCGCCTGTTTATTATACATAATTTTTATTAAATAAACAAATAATATTCATTGGTAACGATGATTATAAGCAATTGATTCAATTGTTCATCTGTTTATTATACATCAAGTTATTAAATAAACAGATAATATTCATTGGTAAGGATGATTATAAACAAGTAATTCCGTTGTTCATCTATTTAATATATGTTAAGTTATTAAATAAACAAATAATATACATTGGTAACGATGATTATAAACAATTTATTCAGTTGTTCATCTGTTTATTATACATTAAGTTGTTAAATAAACAAATATTCATTGGTAACAATGATTATAAACAAGAAATTACTCTGAGCAACATTTTCGAGCATTTTTGAAGGAGCGGCTTACTACTGTGACCAAAAAGTAAGACCAATTTTTTTTTCAAAAGCTCTTTATTTATTCTTCCAAATTTATCCCATCGCCTTCTAAGTAATCCCCTCCGGACACAATGCACTTATGCCAAATTTTTTTTCCAATCCTCAATGCATACTAAAAAGTCATCGGGAGGGATGGCATTCAAAGCGCGCGGCGATTCACGTTGAATCTCTTCAATTGATTCAAAACTGTGTCCCCGGAATTGTCTTCGGAGTTTTGGGAATAGCCAGAAGTTGCACGGTGTGAATACGGTTGTTGTGGAACGATATGGGCTTCATTTTTTGGCGAAAAAGTCACAAAGAACCAATGCATGTGAGCTGGTACATTCAGAGTGTTTTAGGTACCAATCGAGATTTGACGCGTTTGAGGCCCAAATTGGAATTGACCGATCCTTTTGAAATTCCAACATCAGCAGCAGGGTCTCTAATTGTAAGTCGACTGTTTGCAAGCACCAAATCTTTACTTTTTTGGACTTGAGGTTGATGGTCACCCAGAAGGCTCTTCGTCTTCATCGCGTTCTCTGCCTTCTTTGAACTGTTTATACCACTTCTAAACATTTCTTTCCGATATAGGAATGCTCACCGAATGCCTTCTGCAACATTCTATAAGTTTCCTCAAAAAAAATTTAATGCAAGTTCTTGCTCAATTAATTCAGACATTTAAAAAATCGCCGGAATAAGGCCCAATTCAAAACACTAATGAATATTTAGACGCCAAATTTCACACAGATGTCAAGGAAATTGAAAGGATGAAATTCTATAAGCCCCGTGAATTTTAAATAGAAAATTCACGGGGCTTACTTTCTTACTTTTTGGACACTATAATATTAAAGGCATTAGTGAAGGCCAGAAAGGCTTCTGGGAGAATTTTACAGATCTTTCAGATGCTCTCGGAAGAGACACTGCAATCATCAATGTTATTAAAAAGAAATATAGAAAGTCATTCACAAAAGATTTTCTGGTAATTACAAGATCCAAATCATTGATAAATGAATATGTAAAGAATTCTAAATGCATGAATATGAATAGTGTGTTTGGAAACTCTAGCGTTGTGAGTTGTGCGATGAATTTTAAAATTCTTTTCTTAAAATTCACTGAAAGTGTTCTCGAAATGTTTC